AATTCTCTTACCCATTTTTTTGCTTGAAGAAAAGAATTATAATTTGTTATATCATAGACAATAAGAGCTGCTTGTGCACTACGATAATACATTGGTGCAAGTGAATGATATCTAGACAATAAATTTTTTTTTTTTTGTTCTTTATATTCATAATAAAAACAAATTTACCGTTCTTGACCAGCTGTATCCCATAATTCAACATGAAGTGATGTATGTTGATCAATTTTAAGTGTATGTGTAAAAAAAGCAGCACCAATAGTACTTTCAGCATTTTCTTGAAATAGTCCTTTTGCTAATTGAAGTGCTAAAGAAGATTTTCCAACAGCTGATTCACCTAATAAAACCATTTTAAAACGATCGGGACGAGACATTTTGATGATAGATCAGGAAAAACAAAACTTAGTCTATAAATAAACTAAGTTCTATCTAATACAAATGTTTGCCTTTTGTGTTATCTATCTCTATTGTATTGTCTCAGATGAATCATATATATATATATGAATTGTTTATTAGATTTTTTCTCATTTACGACATGACAAAAAAAAAAGAATCTTTGTTGTTTTTTTTTCTTCTTTCTCTCTTTCTTCATACATAAAAAGCAAAGGATTTTGATCGTACGTAATTATTATCAAAGTTGAATATTGTATTTCAACGAAATAGGATATGAAAAAAAAAAAAATTTCTCGTTCGACATTCATAGAATCACATGTTATATTTATTCTTCTTGACTAGATCGAATTGAATCAAATTGTATTGAATCATGTCCTGCTTCAATATAATCTTAATTATTAAAAAAAAAACAAAAAAAAAGAAGTCATAGAATATTTATTTATTTTTTTTTTCTGTATAATATGAACCTTTTTCAAGAGCAGCTAAATTTTCTCGAGCTTCATTAAATTCATTTTCTTCCATTCCTTCACTAATATACCAATGAACGAAAGCTCGTTTTGAATACATAAGATCAAATTTATAATTTATTCGAGACCATGCATCAATTAAAGCTGTTGAATTTGCTAAACTAACAGCAGAATATTTAACTGGTGCAAGATCACCACCAGGAACATATATTGGTGGACTTGTAGCTATATAATAGAATATAAGAAGATCAAATGATTTATCAAAAATATACTCTACTATAACCAATTTTGAATCCACTCGGACACCTATAATTAAAATATTAATGAAATTTATAGAAAATATCATAGAGTCATTCTCGAATACTTCTTACTGTTCATGTCAAATAGAATAAATTAATTGTAGATATATTAGTAATATCAAAACAATTTATTATCGACTCTAGGTGCTCTGAAACTTAGTAGACAAACTAAAAACTATACGTCGTGACTAGTCCTCATTTAAACATATTAAAAATTGTACATTTTGTAAGATAGTTTCTGATCTATCAGTTGATATATAAGTAAAGATTTCCACAACAAATTTCGAATCATAATAATGAAAATATATAATCTTTTTCATTCAAACTAATTTTGTTTTTTTTGAATTCTTCAAAAATTATTTCACTACTATCGGACAAAATTTCTAAGTTCATATTCGAGAATAGTACAAACGTCAGAAATATTTTCTAACAATATCGATAGTGGACAAATATGCTGTTTAAAAAAATTTTCGATCATTCGTTAATCATGAAACTTGTTCAAGAGTCTGTCTAATGAATGTTTGTGGAAAGCAATTAAAATCTTCTAATCGATAATATCACTAAATACCATCTCATTGGTAAACAGAGCACTAAAGTAAGTAAGAGTAGCAAATATTCTTATTGATTGATGAAAAATTAAAAATACTTCTGCCTCTAGAGGTTTTGAATGCTTTCTAAAAAAAGACGTTTTATTATTATTGCATTAAATGTGATGCAAAATAAATGTAAACATCCTGTAGTAAAACATGAAAATTTTTTTTCTGTTACCTTTATAAAAAAACTTTTTAAATGTCTCATTGAAGTCTTTCTTACAACAAAATTCATTCTCAAAATATTAAATCATTCAGATTTTTATGCTAATTCCGAACTGAAGTTTTGATGGTTTAAATCTTAGAATAGAAATTCCTATTTATGACATTTTTGTTATTGTATCAAAAACTAATTGATTTTTCAAAAGTCAAAACAGACTGATATAAATTATTACTGGAGTTTTCTGATTATTGAAATCTAATTTTTATAAGTTTTGCTTAGCTTTCGAGTTGCCATTACTAAATATTCTCACCCTATCTAATGTGGTCCTCATAGAGTATTATAATTAATTAAATTCTATATTTCTAAAAAGTATAATAACTCACCAATCAACAAATGAAATTTTTCTATCATTTTTTAATTTATTAATTGTATAATTAACATCTATTGGTGATACGGAACCTCGATATAGAATTGCAATAGACATATATTTTCCTATTGATGGTTCAACTTTAATCATTTGATTATTTCGATGAAATAAATCTTGTGTTAATGTTTGTATATCATTTTGTTCATGATAAACTTTTTCAATTGAATATATAGGTGCATAACTAACTAAAGGAAAATGAATACGTGGAAATGGTATAAGATTTGTTTGAAATTCAATAAAATTTGTTGTATTTTCATTTTTAAAACGATTTCCAGCTGTTATATTTGATATAACTTGAGATATAAGACGATTAATATTAACAAAATTAGCTTTTTTTATATCAAGTAAATTTGTACAAATATTCCATAAAGCTTCATTATCAACAATAAATACACAATCAGCATATTCTAAACCAATATGAGTATTTAATATTGTATTATATGGTTCAGTAATAATTGTTGATAATTTAGGTGATGGAAAAACAGCAAATTCAAAATGTGTTTTTTTATTATAATCAATATTTAAATGTTCCATAAGAAGAGATGTAAAACCAGAACCAGTACCTAATATATATACATATATTCAATATAAATTTATATCATTTTAAAAGAAATAAGAGATATCTGAATATATATATACCACCACCAAAACTATGAAAAATAATAAATCCTTGTAATGAATGACATTGATTAGTTAAACGACGTATTTGATCAAGTACATGATTAATAAGTTCATTTCCAATAGTAAAATAACCTCGAGCATAATTTGATGCAGCATCTTCTTTACCAGATATAATTCTATCAGGATGAAATAATTGTCTATATGTACCAGTACGTACTTCATCAAGAACTGTTGTTTCTAAATCAATATAAAGCATACGTGGTGTATATTTATGTCCAATATCTTCAAAAAATGTTAATATTGATTGATCAGTATCATTTAATGATAATGTTCCATCAGGTTGAATACCATGTTCAAGACAAAATAATTCCCAACAAGCATGACCTATTTGACAACCAGCTTGACCAACATGTAAACATATGATTTCTTTCATATACGAAAAAAAAAGAAAGCTCGACAAAAAAAAAATAATTTCAAAAAAAAACAAAATAATCATATTCGCGCTTCAATATAAATGAGAATAATATGTAAGTCTGAGAAGGGAAAAAATTGAACTTAAACGCTGAAGTTTCTATTGTTTTCCTTAGTATAAAACAAAATTAGACAAAGAAATGATACATATGATGACGAATGAATTAATAAGAACTCTTTGAAAAATAATCGTTGATCTTAAAATTCGTTCATGTTATGTCAGATAATTTATTATATAAAGTTTGATTATTAGAAACGAAACAATATGGATTACATTTTGCATAAAGAGATAATTTTGAATATATTTCATTCACTTCATAAATCTATTAAATAATTGAATAATGATCAAAATATTTAAAGAATATTTCTCAGAATAGAACAATAGTTTATTCAGTTTAGTCTATTCAAGTTTCTCACATAAAGTTATTTAAATAATCTTATTATGTTCGATAATAAATAATGTTTCAAAGAAAAAAAATAATAATAATCTAATTAGAGTTTTAAAATGAGAAGCTTACTTTTTTGTGGTAAAGAAAACACATGCTGCTTCAAAGTTTTATTGACCACAAATTAAAAAATTCCTTTATTAAATAATACTCATCTTATATATATAAGCATTACCAGGATTGTCACACTGTTTTACAAGAAATAGGAAAACTATTCCTGATAATAAAAATGAACTCTTCAGACAAAATATAATTTCCAGAAAAAAATAATTTAAAAAAGAAAAATATCGTCTCGACGATCAATAATTTTTTAATGTATAATCAAAACACACCCACACCCATATCTAATATCTTGTAAAATACTTCGTCTATGTTTATCTCGAGCTTTCCTTTTCTATTAATACGAGTGAAAGATGATATTTATTATTTTTTTTTTACAGAACGACATCATAAAATTATTAATGACTATAGTTTTTTCATTTAACTTCATAAATATTTTTCAATGTTAGTTAGTTGTGTTATTTTCTTTAATTAAGAAAAGTAATGTAAACTTATTCTTGTTAACTTCGTGACATACTTGTGTTCAACACATATAATTCTAAAAATAAGTTTTTCAATCCATTAGTTTATTTGCGTAGATTTAAAATGATTTGTAAGAATTAGCATGTTTTATCTTATTGTAAAAATTTCAATTTTAAGAAGAAAAGTTCTCTTTTGTTTTTTTTTATAATTTTTATGCATGAATTCATGTATTTGATATTTATGAAAATTGTTTTTTTTCTTTTTTTACTATCTTTTCTTTTTTTTTATTTTTTCAATTTTCTTTCTGTCTAGTTCAGATACCAACCGCCTTCGACACTATGAACTCATTTATTTCTTCTTTTTTTTCTTCTTCTCTGTCATACAGACGGTGCCTCATTTTCTTTTTTATTTTTCTCGCTACTCATATTGAGAGATGTAAAATGCTCGTGTAATCTTCCAAGATGACGCCAAACAAAAAGAAAAACTAACATCATATACTTTCTATTTTTTCCCTTCTTTTTATTCTCTCGTTGTTTCATCCTTATATAATTTTCTTATTACAAAACATAAAAATACAGCGTCTTTTTTTTTTTTAAAGATGAATATGTTTGTCATTGTTATTTTCTATTTTTTCATTGTTTCTATACGTGGTGATTTTACTATTGTTCGTCGAATTCCAAACACAACTATTTCATCAACTACAAATCAATTCACTATTGAAAGTAAAAATTAAACAAATTCTAGATCGAAGAAAACGATATAAAATGGTGAAAGTCAATACTATTATATCGATGTTTTTCATAATCTCATAGAACAGTTTATATAGTACAGGAGAGGACAGTCATTTGCTATCGATAAAAAAAAAAAGAACATGGTTCCTAAAATGGGTTGACGGATTGTAATGAAATACGATGAAAAAGTACTGCATTAATTCACCATTTTATAGCTGTTTTCGATAGTCGAAATCTTTGTTTAAAGACATAAAAATAAGCTTCATTTTTCATTTTTATTTATCTAGTTAATCAAGCGGTCAATCGACCTCAATTCCAATCGTTTATTCATTTCTATAATGCAACAACCAATATGTCAATTGATCAAATCGATGTGTATTTAAATACAAGTAATGTAAACTATTCTACTAATACACTTATATTTTATTTGCCGGATTCTATTAAATTAAATATCAGTGGTGAATTTTATATAACATTTGATCAAGGTGTCTTGTTTTCGAACGCTACATTGAATTCCACTGCTCAAAATGACTCGAGTTTTTGGCATTTAGTAGTTGTGAATTCTGAAACAAGTACTACTCCACTAGAATATACATCAATGGGAACTACTTATAACCTAACGACTGGTTCCTCGATGAGCTATAGTGATACTAGTACAGGTATTATGACAACAATAATAACTACATATGATTCAATTAATCAAACAACAACAACAAGTTTAAATATTACAACTATTAGTTCGAGAGATATAAACAGAGGTCTGATGTTAATTTTTTTTTCTAATGGAAATATATATAAATAAAATATTTTTATTTAGGTGAATCACCACCAACTCGTTCGGCACAATTGGGTATGGGTATAGGTATAACATTTATTACAATAATAATCATCGGTGAAATATTATATTTTAAATATTGTCATGATGGTAATGGACGAAGTGGGAGTTATTTTACATAAAAATATCTAGGAAAAAGACCGGTTGACTTGTAAACAATTACTTTACATATATATAGACTACAATTCATTTGTGATTATATTTGAGAAAATCAAAAATCTTGTTCTTTTTTTTTCCGTTTTTTCCTGCTACTCAAGAAAGTGAATTTTAATTTTGTAATTTATTCGTGCATTAATCAAAGATATTGAACTATATTCATTTTTTTTTGTATATTGTACGTTCAGATTTAGTATCTGAATGAAATATGCAAAATTTTATTTTCCTAATATTCGTTTTTTAGTTATGAATAAAAAAAACTGTAGATCACGATGTAGAATAAATGATCAGAAAAAAGATCGATTGCAAGTTTTTTTGCTTTCTACTTTCTTGTCGGAACGATCTGAAGACTGAAGAATCTTAGGATTAAAACGAGTTTCAACAACAACACTAATTACTCATTAGATCAAATGTTACTGCTATCTGTCGAAGTTTTCGTCATATATTGAAGATCTTCTTGACATGTGCATTCTATTTCTCTCTCTCGAGGAAATGTTCCCAAGGATTCAACTGCTTTTCACTGGAAACTATTGCCATTCAATCGGTAGTAATCAGTTGTGCAGTAATCTTTTGTAGTTTGATTTTCCCATGTTCACTCGTCGAGTTATGAGTGTTTTACTCTAGTTTTTCTCACCATAAACATTACAAAGTTTGAGTTAGGACAAACGGATATCTATAGTGAAATATTAGCTTATTAAAAAAAAAAACGTTGTTCTTTTGAAACATATCGTAAAACGGACATTTCTTTTAAAAATGTGAAAATCTTAGCAAGGGTATATTCGTTCTGACTAAAATATCGGAATGTTTCTAGTGATTATAAAATCTATCTGTAGATAATATTTTAACTCGAAATTTGATCATATAGGTTCTCAACGATTCTATACTTAAAGAGAAAAAAAACCAAATCAAAACAGATAGTTTCATTACTCATGAAGATCTATTGAATGGGAGCAGCCTCAAGTGAAAAATGGTTGAACAATTGAGACTATTTTCTCGTCTCAATGATAGAGAATCAAAATAAATTGCATATTTAAACATATTTAACATTTTGACTACTTCGAATGTTATATAACCTCATAAACGATGAATTCTATTTAAGGATATTTTTCATATGTGTTTCATTTAACTAAATCAAGTGGTAATGTAATTGAAAAATAGGAGAGAAAATTGATACATTGTATATTGCTCTTATAGATAAAATCAACCGATAAATCTACGAGAGCTGATCTTACTAGGCTTTATTTATTTATGAGCATAAAAAAATATAAATAATAAATAATCACAAGACGCTAAACTATTCTTTTTGCGATCCTCTATAACTTATTTGTTTTGATATCAAAGAAAAAACACTATAAATTATATTTCGCAATTTTCATTTTTGTAGAACGCTGAATATTAAGACATGTAAATGAAGAAAATATGACATAGATATTATCATTACTTTTTTGATTGACGACAATTACTAACTTACCTTACAAAAAAAACGAATTTCTTTTTACACCTACGCGGTTACGCTATTATTTATCTTTTTTCATGTTATTTTTTAAATATACATATATTTATACGTATGTATAGATATCAAACAACGTAATTATTGACATAACATGGAACTTTTACTTGCTGCAGGTGCTGCTGGTTTAGCTGCTTATGCATATGGAAAACGTAGAGAACGTCATCAAATAGCAAATGGATATGTGACATATCATCATAACGGATATGATGCACCACAATATGGTCATATTCATTATGGGAATACAGGCAATCATTACAGAGCTTCATCTCACCATCATCATCTCACTGCTTATCAAAATACGACATATGCATCTTAAAAACTTACAAACGATGAATATATAGTATAAAACGTTATTGTTTCTGAAACAAATATTAAAATTTAATACAATAAAAATATGATAATATCAAAATAAACAAATCATAAAGAAAATTAACCGTTGATTTTTATTTTTGCGATTAACAAAACATTTTTTTTTGATCTAATGTTACAATCGAATATCGTAGACAACTGTTTCACATGCATTCGTGCCTCTGTATGATATTTTTGCGAATGATGAAAACTGCAGATCTCTATGGCTTTTGGTTCTAAAGTCATTGAAAAAACACCTCATACGCACCAGTTTTTTTAAACGGACAACAGTGTAGAACTGTACATTACCGCTCAAAAATAAAAAACCAACGTATTTTTTTTTTCTGCAATACGAAGTATTTAACTCAAATCAAAATAGGTTTTTAAATAGTCAATACATTTTTCTATCAAATATATTTCATATTGGAATTTCATAGATGGACTGTGTGAGAAAAATTCTGAAAAACCAAATACAAAACCTATTTTTATTTTGCGTTTTGTGATGTTCATAACTTTTAAGAGGAGGTGGTAAGAAATACGATGATCCCTCATTATATTCAAGATTTTGTGCCCTTTAAGGCAGTTCTCTTCAAATTTTTTTTTTCAATAGTATGAAATAAATTTGATAGAGAACTGCATTGGCTATGTAAATTAATTTTTCCATTTGACTTAAACGCTTGCTACTTTAGAAAAAAATCAAAAATATCTTGATTTTATATTTTTGAACAGTACTGTATACAAAAAATTGATCCGGAAAGTTTCCCGAAAGGCAACATAAATCTTAGAATAAACAATTACAAGATATTTTATATAATATTAAAGATTTTCGTTTTTTTTCTAAGTTTTATAATGTAAGAACAGAGCGTTATAACTGCACCCATAAAAAGAAATATTCAAGGTATTTTATAATGATCGATAAAAATGCTGTTCTAACATTATCATCAAAATAAAAAAAAAAATTTAATTTCATTCTGAATGAAAAATTGTTCAACGATAAATATTTTATATGGAAAAGGAATCTTATCACGTCCTTTAGAAAAAAGATTATTTAGATTAAGACACATAAAAGAAGACAATTTTTTCGCATGATAAATGCTAAATTGAATTTTTAATTAAAGTATTAGTTGTTCTGTCTCTTGTATATAAAATTAATCATTTTAATCCTTGACATCCCATTGGCATGTGGAATTGTTATTTTTAGAAGTATTGTAAAAAATGCAGAAAGTGGAATATTAAAAAGTTCCTTACACATGATATGTCAAAAATTCTCTACGCTACCAATTAGTAAAAAATATATTTTGTATGATTGCTCTTTTTTCAAGGTATGCGACTTACAACAAAGACAACTATGAAATCATTAAAGCGAAGGATCTTTCTTTTTAATTGCTGCTTTGCCTATGAGCAATATATATATATATCTTGATAATATACTATGTGATAGATAGCGAAAATAGCTGTGATTACATAAAATGCGCTTCCAAATTTTCATGCAAAATTAGTTGCACAAGCGTTTGTACGATATTAAACGCCAACAAATGTTGTCATTGTAGAATACTAAAATTAAAAACTTTTTAGACATTCTCATCTAAATATAATGTCTGTTAATATTTATGCATAGATAAGTCGGCCAGTATCTCTCTCTCTCTATGGTTGTTTTCATTGCTTCTCATAGATGTATACAACGCTACTGTGAATGGATGTAAAGTTTGAAGATCTTCACTTCATCAGCATCTACACTCACATTTTTACATAATCTACCAGAAATGCAATAAGGAATTAGTTTATATATTGGAACAAGACGTTATTTTAATACTGTCTTTAATGGTATATCAATAGAGTTTATCACAGCGTGGAATGGTTTGCTTTGCATTTCCAGAGTAACTACATGATTGAATTTCGAGATATACATCTATATCTGTTTAGTTTTTGGATGCTGATTCAGAGTATTATAATAGTTTTTATTCGAATGGCATTTTTCTAACGGAAATCTATTAAGTATCAGGCAAAAAAGTCATATACTCATGTTTCAAGAATAGTCGTGTTGATACTATTTTGAAGCGTTGAAAAATTACTATCGAACCATTTGAAAAACAGTTCGATGGATGAAAAGATTGATTGATTTTGATACAGATACCCAGTAGGTAATACCGATCCTAGAGACATATCAGAGCTATTTACTCCATGTAAAGTTATTTTTGCCAGTGTTTTTTCCGTGATATTTTTATACCAATTGGAAGTCATTGAAACATAGTATAGAGTACGTACAACAGCCATTGACTACGTCCATCAGCTAGGATCCAGAACAAACAAATATAGAGAATCGATTTCATCAGTTATTGATACAATATCTAACTGTATACAATATTTTTTTTCTTTAAATTTAACATTTCGATTGATTTGAAAGTTTTAAAATCTCATAAGCGATGAATTCAATGTGAGAATGTCTTTTTATATGCGTGTCATTCAATTAAAACAAGTAGTAAAGAAATTATAGAAACAAAAATAAAGTGATGCCTTCTGCATTGCTCGAAGAGAAAAAATAAACAATTGAATTTATAACCGCTCGTGCTACTGGACTTTCTTTATTTTCTAACTTATAAAATACGAATAATAAATGATCATAGATAATAAAATTTTCTTTTTACAATCATCTGTAATTTATTTGCTTTGATGCAAACAAAAAACACTATTAATTATATTTCACAATTTTGGTTTTTGTAGTATAATTAATATTAAGGCATACTGATGAAGAAAGTATAACATACGCATCATCGTCATATATTAATTGATAATGACGCATAAATCAGCCTTGAAAAACATGCTTTTCTTGGTTTTTCTTTCTTTCTATATTTAAACATGCACATATTTAGACATGCGCATCAGTACTAAACAATATAACTATTGACATTACATGGACCTTTTATTTGTTGTAGGTGCTACTAATTTAGTTGGCTATGAATTGGGGAAACTAAGAGAACGTCTTGACATTGTAAATGGATATATAATATATCGTGATAACGAACACTATAAACCAGAAATTCATAATGTTAAAATTTAATGTAATAAAAAAGGTGATAATATCAAAATAAATAATAAAAAACAATA